AGCTGCTGCTGCTGCAGCTTCCGCTTGCTGCGGCGCTAGGGGTCAGTTTTCCACAAAGCATATTGTGCCGTTAGGGAGAAGGCAGAGGGTACAGATGCTGGGTGGACAGCCAGCCTGTATTTGCTACAGATTCACTTTAAGGTGGGAAAAACCGACGATGGAACAATGTACTAAAGGGCATTTGGCTTTTGGTAATGGAGCAGAGAATAGACTCAACATCTTTGTATTCAGAGCTCTTTCCAAACATCGAATTCTCCCTGCCCTTTGCTAATGCTGAGGCTGGCACCTCTCAGCAGAGTAAGTCAGTGTGGGTGAGAAAAGGTCCCCTTCGCATCTTGCTGATACCAAAAATTTCATGTAATTATTTTCTTTTGGGTTACGGTATTGCTCATTCATTCAAAAACACATATTCATTGAACTGGGAACATTGGCTGGCTCGGCCCATCTGGAACCTGCCTCTTAATCAAGAGTCTTTCAGACGTAAGGAACAGAAACCTACTCAAGCTAGTTTGGGCAAAAATGGGAGGGGGACTTCTTCTAAAGAAACAAGATTCTCTAGCCCCATCTGACTCTTCCACAAATTATAGCATCATCTCACATGACCTCATGTTTAATAACAGCCCCCACTTTGCTTACTGAACATCCTGATTGACACCTGAGGCTTGGTAGCCTGGTAGCTCACTCTTGTCATCTTAGGTGAATGCTCTGCTGCTGCCATCATATCTGGGCCTGGGCAACTTCAGAGAAAATCTAGCCCTATTTCCATGCATTCTTAGCCAGCTCATTTAGGTTTAATTAGATGAATGTGTTTAAGAATGTGTTTATGAAGAGTTTCTCACATAAAAAGACATGGGATGAATAGGAAAGCTAGGAGGAAACACTGCTCATTCGCAGCTTATCATTCAGTGAAGAAACCTCAGAAGAGTGTCCAAGCTGTACTGGGCTTGCATTCTGATTCTAGTCCCACAGTGCAAGCAGAGGCTCCTCCAGGATTATAGCATGTGTGTCGGTTTCATAAAGTTCCCTCTACTCAGTTCCATGTAAGAACTGGGACCATGGGAATATCCCTCAATCCTTTGTGTTTTCATACACTATCAAGAGAGGGAGAGATGACGTCTTCTTCCTGTCTTCACAAAGATGCTGGATGCCTCTCATCACCTGAATCAGATCATTTTGTATGATCTTCTCCACTTATGGGCTTCATACTTTCTTCCTCTTTCTAGAGGGAGAGGAGATTGACATCTAGATAACCTCATTTGTGAGCAGATATTTCCTCCCAAGAATTAGTGAAGTCCTCCTTTGTGTCCTTAATGATTCCGTAGAGCTCCTTGCTAAAACTATGCAATATAGCAGACAGCTGGGGGCTTGCTGGAAATGTAGACTGCTAAGCTCACCGAAGATCCTGGGTCAGAATCTGTATTTCCGTAATCATTCTCTAGGTCAGGCACATGCACACGGAAGCCTGAGAAACACGTCTGTATCCCGTGTAGTCTTTAGTGCACTTTCTGGATTGCTTATCTTTGTCTGGGAGGAGGACAAAGGCAATGTCTGTTCACCTGTATGTCTGTCTCCTCTGAAATGTCTGGTGTCTAGTGGGTATTCAATAGCTATTCTGTGGATGGATGGGTGAGTGGGTGGATGGATGGATGGATAGAAAAAGCCAGTTTCTGTGGCTCATCAGGGAGGTTATAATCCTAGTGGAACAACCCTGGGCTAGAAAGAAAGAGAAAGATCACTGAGAAGTCCTGTTGCAGTGTAATTTGTGAGGCAGTTTACCTATGGCATGCAATTTGCTCCAATTAGACTTTACCAGGTAGGTGTTGATGCTATTATTCTCCAGATGAGCAAGTAGAGAATTGTGTTTCAAACCCTGCATAGTTCTTTTTCTTTCCTACTGCAGTACCACTCTGTATTTGTGTGAGCTGCGTCTGCCACCTAGCCTGGACCACTGTACGCTGAGTCTGTGCTGGAGGATCTGGTGTATGCTTATCACCTCGCACTCACTAATCTTGCCAACATCTCCTGTCTACAGAGGAGCCTGTGACCCTGCCTGAGGGGCGCTTGGTCTTAGGAACAGGCTTGTCCTGTACATGAGACAGGCTGTAAGTGCTGAGGAGTAGATACCTTCAGAAGCAGCCCTCAACCAACAGTGAACAGGAGCTGGAGAACGAATGCCCTCCGAATGGAATGTAACTGGGGAGGGAAGAACTATATGGTCTCCCAGAGTTGCTCTTGGGATGAAGCCCAGTAGCTCACAGTGGTGACCTGCTAAAAATACACACTGTATTGTCTTCCTACCCTTCCCTGTCTCCTTCCTTAATCCCTTTCTGCTGCTTCCTGAGATCTCAGAAACACATTGTTTACCTTCAAATCCTTCTGGTAGGGGCTCCTTCTAGGAAACCAAATCTGAGACAGCACCTGTTAAATAAAAGCAACTGTAGCTAACATGTTCTGACTGCCTGACATTGTGATAAACATCTCTGTACATTATCTCCTTTAATCTTTACAACATCCAGAGAGGTAAGCACTGATAGGATCTCTAGTTGAGGAAAACAAGACTCAGACAGGTGAAGGGCTGGGCTAAAGTTGCCCCAGCTTGTCGGTGGTAGAGTCAAGGTTTGGACATACTTCTGTTTGCTGTTAAAGCTCATTTTACCCCCTAAAATATAAGGATTATCACCTGGGGTCACAGATATGAAGATTTATTGAAAAAACTACAAGTACTATAATTCTAGAATGGGGTAACTTTGCCAAAACTTTTCTTTCCATTTAAGGGAGTTGGGACAAGTCAGTCAGGGTTGCCGGGGATCTGATAAGATAGTTGGAGAGTGCTCCTGTTAGGATTCAAAAGGACCAGAGAAAAATGAGAAAATTCCTGGTGTAGGGACAAGGCAATTTCTTGTCAGTGGAAAAGGGTGAGGCTAGATAGGTGTTAGGCTAGGTGGGAAAATGTGTCTAGGTCTCTCTGTAGACAGTCCTGTGTGCAGAGTACCTCAGGATTGAGACAAAAGTAAAGATAGGATAGATAAATGTGGAGGAATGAGGGATTATAAGTCATCACAGTAGTCAGAGGTGACATTTGGCACCCACACAAACACATTCTGGATGGCAGCATGGCAGACAGCTCTTATCTTATATCTTCTTTCTCTGACTGACAGTGGTTTCCTAGAATCCCATGTAGATGGCAAATCTGAGGCTGTTTCCATCTCAGAGCCAAAAAGAGTGATGATTGATTAGTGATGCTTGCCTGGGGACAAAGGAATGATTGACTAATGATGTCTGCCTGGGGCACAGGAGTGGACAGTGTTGGTGAGCATGCTGCTTGGAGGAGCAGACTGAATTTTAAATATGAGTCAGAAGAATCCTATTAGGATTGAAGCAGCATTTATAAATCCAAGTAGGCGTACATTTTTGAAAGGGATAGTTTTTCCCCTTGGAGAGGGTTTATCTTTAATTTGAACATATGTGGCAAACCTAAGCAATATGCAAATGACAGCTTCATTATAACTCTCTAGGGGCAAGGAAGGGAGAACTTAGCCTACAATATGCTGAGTTTAAAGCATGTGTGCATGTGCACACACAACACATGCAGAAGGGCACTGGGGGCACGGGTTGAGTGGCGCTTAAGCTTGGTCATGGTGCCCTCTGTGTTGGGTGGGTTTTCATGATTTCCACCTGCAGGAGCTCTGGCATCTTGGTCGCATTGAAGGAGGAATGAAAAGTTCTGAGGTTGGAGTTTCATCATCCTAACTTTCTGCAGATGGAGAAGGAGCCAGGAAGGCCCCTCCTACCAGGTCACCATGAAGGGGTGTATCTGCCTATGAGGAGGGCCGAACACACATTATAAATAATGTACTCATTTCTGCCCTTGAGTTTGGAGCTCACGTTGATTTTGTTGCATCACAGAACTTGCTGATGCTCAGTGCAGAGCTGTGTGGCTGGAGGACTCTGACTCACACTTTTAGTTCAACCTATCATTTGGACCCTTGATTTCCAAATGCCTGTAAGAATTCTCTTCATCTCATGAGTTGTTGCAGCCTCTTCAGATTTTCAAAGAAAACTCAGCTCCAATTTGCTTTAACTAGCAATGTGCCTAGAACATTTAGGTGAGGTCACATGGAAGGGACTTGTCATGAAATCACATAGGGACAAATTCTGTACATATGAAGTTAATCATTGTCAAATTTACATGGTTTAATAGTTTAGTCCACACTGAGATTTCATAGTGAGAAGTGGTTTATCAGTTGATTAATAAGGGAGAGAGAGAGACATCATACTTAGTATGAAAGCTCAGATGGAATACTATAGAACAAGGGTGGAAAGTGGATTGCCTTGAACTGATAGTGGATGTCTATAACTTAACTAAATAAAGATGATTGAGACTGAGGAAATGATTGGTGAGAGCACATGCAATGATTGATTAGCAATGTCTGCAATGAGCAAAGGGAAAGATGCATATATGTGCCATATGTTCTCTAGAAGGAAGGCATCTAGAAAAACAGGTCATGTAGAACAGACTCCATCTGTCCTGCAAGTGAGAAAGAATTGGATGAGGGCCATCCTAACTGGCCATTACAGGATGAAAATTTTTGATTTAGACACAGGAAGATTCCAGAAAAAGCTAGTTTCTCCATCCACTACTGTTTCACAGGAGTATGAGCCAAAAATCATTGTTTAAGAGCTAATGCAAGTGAGGTTTTCAGGTAAAGGAGTGATAGAGAGAGAGAGAGAGAGAGAGAGAGAGAGAGAGAGAGAGAGAGAG